TAGTCACATTCAAACATCTACTAGGGTACAACACAGTTTACCACCTATCATGCATTTATTATGAGAAAACAATCACAAGCACACCTGGTAGACCTGCTAAACCGTCGAACACATAGACCCCGTCCGTACTTCTGGCGCATCATGCTCACTTATCCTCTCCGTAGAGCCTGTTGTATGTCCACTTCCAGATCTGGTCTCTCCCCGTTGCAAAACATTTTAGGACTCGTTTCAGGACGCTGTAAGGGAAAGACTTCAAACACAATTCCCTCTRCAAGCTCAGGACTCTCATAGGTATGTYTGAGCGCACATTCGTGTTGCACTCGATCCTGTGCAAGCAACTCCCCACCACAACGTTTTTTTGTGCCTTGCTCCCCCAGGAGTAGTACGTTTGACCATTCTTGAACTCCAAACGGCCTTCTTCCCATGATGAGGCCTCGTTCTTTGTGAAATGTGTGCATCGTAGGTACGGATACGACGCATCCACCGACATGACAGTGCCCAAAAAATTCCACACTCCTTTGCCTTCGTCCGTTCTTTGCAGCGATGGATTCTTCGGGTAGCATTCTTCGAAGCCACAAAGAATTTTGTCCACAGGGATTTGCTTCTTCCCTCCTTTCACAATGATTAAACTAACATCATCCATCAGGCGCACACCAAAAACAAAACGTCGCCACCCGCCTAAGCTTTGCAGGAATTTAAATTCCGCGAAAGCACATAGCATACACGCCAGCGGTGGGCTCGTTCCTTTACCCATGGGGATGCCCACCACTTGCTGCAGCAGAGTACCAGTGGCTTTCGTGTAGGTGTGCTCCAGTTCCCACTTAACGAAATTCCCGAGCAGCTCCAGGTCCATCTTCCTCCAGTAATCGTCGCCTGTGCTCACTCCGAAAGTGCAGCCTTTACCTTTTGTGTTCACACGGATCCATTTTCGTCCTTTGMTCATGTGGTGGTTAATCACCTAGTGAACTGCCTTTAATATCTCCTCATGCGGTAGTTTACTGAACATGTCCTTAATATCAAAGGACATGGACACCAATTCAGAGTTCGTCTGCATCATCCGGCCAATGTTCTTGTTCCCCTGATCCTGTCTTGATACCAACTCGGACACCGATCGCAGGTTGAAGTGTCAAGCACCTGGTATGCCCGCTAAGAGATGATTCAGTGCTTTGGCAGTAGCACGACAGGTTCGAACGGTAGGTTCCGAGAAGGTTGGACATATCGGACGGAACCTTGATAGATCCTTATGTTTTGGCAAAACATAAGCACTACCCACCTTCTCCTTTGCATCCCACCGCAGAAATTGCTGCAGACCTGATTCCTTGGTCTTCCGYAGTATGTCCTCCTCCTTCTCTTGCTTGATCGTGTATCCGGATTACAGTACAAAGGTCTCCATCATGGCCTCAAAATAGAGTTTAGGGCACATGGTTACGGTCTYCCCCGAATTGTGGTCAAGACTCGTGAGCACCAGGCTATTCAACTTCGCCTTCACGATCTCGACATCCCCTATCTCCTGTGAGTCCAGCAGCTGGTATACATCTAGACTCCATTCCTCTACCTCCCTAATCCTTGCTTTAATAGGTACAATAGGTACATTCGCGTTGGATCTGTCAACAACGTGGACTGGTCTAGCTGTCCTACTTCGTTCCCTCTTCCCAAGTCGCCGTTGACCTGTCCTAACACCCTTACCTTGCTTACCAGTYGTGCTCAAGACGGGTGACCATCGACGGATGTATAACTGCTCGAGTGGTATGAGCTCYGACTCGGAGCATGCTTCGATCGGCAACAGCACGTATGACTCGGCTTCGTACACTTGCTACCACCTATATAGGTGAGTTCGCTTGCGTGGTTGGCCACATGTTGATAGGTGCTCCTTCCACCTTGTGTTTGTTGGYCGCTTGGTCTATCCCACTTACTGTGCTTTGCAGGTTGGTGAAGTTAGGATATAAATGYCGTTCGAGTCCCCGTTGAAAGCTTTGATGYCGTGCTTTCGGTACATGTCCACSCATGATGTTAGGCACTTGCATCKGCATCGAATTTGGTCGTAGATCGTCAAGAGGATAACAACGTAGCGATACAGTTGCTCTGTCAGAGCGTTGTATGGTGAATCACGATGAAGTGCAATCAATGCTCTACGGAGCCGCMWGTAGTCCCCAATGGTTCAGTTGTCCTCCTYCTYCTGSTCCTCGTGTTCTAATGGCTGATGCGACTCTTTATCAGCAGGATCATCCTGGATCCCAGTCGTGCTGCCTTCGATAGTCTCTTCCTCCTCCTWGTCAGTGTCATATGCCTCGTGTGTGCGTTTCTCAGTAATAGCTAGGATAGTGTCCATCTTCTTCTTGTTGCCTTCGAAGCACACATCCTCATCTCGACATATCTGTTTCAGCTCATCAACATTCATTCCACCCAGCACCCGAAGGTTCTCTTTAACATAGCGTAGTTTCCCCGGATTACCCACCGTGGTGGGTATCTTCTTAATCTTAGCGATGGTTCCTCCCAGAGTCTTCCTSTCTGGCGATCRCTTCATAGGCAGATGYTGACAGCTGAGCGCAAGACGCTTCGGCAACAGCGKGCCACTTTTTGTCGGTCGCTTAGCAGGGGTCACCATTGGAGGGCTATCGCCGATGACGCGTTCGGCATTGCGCTTGCGTTTATTGCTGATCTCTAGGCCTCCTATTTTTTTGCTCAAGGCCTCAACGTCGYTGTCATCAGCACTTTCTTCGTCGTCATCTGATCCGCTATATASTGGTAGCTTGTTCTTCCCCTTACTCTTCGACAAGCTTCGAATAATCGATGGTGTAGCTCCTCGCATGCCCCTCCAACATGCATKCGAATTTYCATTCTCAATTCCTTCGATCTTGTCGCATGCCCCTCCAACACACCGGTGCATAAYGTCTCGGCGGTTCCCTATAACTTCGATCTTGTCGAGATTCCACAGGCCGATCCTGCCTATCGTCGCCTGTCCGTTCTCGGCCATAGTCCTCGTCACGTCTGCTCTCATGATATCGCTCCCGGTCGCGGTCATAGTAACGCCTGTCTCCGCGCGATCCCACTCCTGACATCACTCATGCACACCCTCGTTAACAGGTAAAACTTCGCAGAATCGCCCTGTCCACTGGAAAATGGATAGCACACTTGTCTTAAAAATATCGACAAAAAAGCGGAAGTAAGCAGACTCTGCTAACCTCGCGGCCTCCGTAGTACAAGTAACGCAGATCTTCGGTAAAATCACGAATAACACATGAACCAAATCAGCAAACTCATCGTGCTCACACTTGCCAAGCAACTTCTCGGCTGGTTCACACGGGCCTTCAGAGATTTGAAGTGAGAAGGAAGAATAGATAAAAGTCCATCAACGCGTGTGTAATCCCAAAGGAGACATGTAGTCATGTAAACAAGTGAGCAGACTCAATTGAAACATGTAATCATGTACTTAAGAGAAAACACACAAGTAAAAACAACGCCAACAGTCGGTGGCTATGGCASCCCGACCGGTTTCGATAGCCGCCACGCTGTCTCTTCAGGGGGAATCCACCTTCGTCTCCCTTAACCTCACAACCACCTCGTCA